GTGTGTGTGTGTGTGTGTGTGTGACAGCCAAGGTGAGGTCAGCATGCAGCTAAAAGCTAATCGCTGTGAATGAGCTGTTGACTCAGTGACTGTCGTCAATAGACAGACGAGAAAAACCTGAAAACGTCGACATTTCTGACTCGCTGCCAGAAAAGCTCAGGACTGAACGACTCCAGTAAACTTCATTCAGCAACTCGGTGCCGTCAACTCAACCACTTCCACACATTTACACATGAAATAAAGAACGTGGTGCTGCTGGTCCAGTGGCGTCAGTGGTTGTTGGAGAAAACATGAGCTCCTGCAGTGAGGTGTTTTCTGAAATGATGAAAGTAAAGAACTGTTACGTTCTGTTGGTGGAAATTAACTAATTAACCACAAGAAACCTAAAGTTCATTGGTCTGCAAACCAAATGAATTGGAGCATTACATTAGTCCACATGCTCAGTCTGAACAGTCATGTGACTGTATCGGAATTCAACGCGACTTTTACATCACTGTAGATCAACATTCCTCATAATTTGCGCAGGAGAAGGGGTGGGAGTCACAGCTGTGACGGAGTCAGTGCAGGGACAGTGAGGTTTAAGGCCTCATGAAGATCTTGGGTTACATGTCTGTACAAGCAAAACTTGAGGGGTTGTATCATAACCGCCTGTGTTTGAAAGCATCAAGAGAAAAATGAAACTGGAAAAGTAAACTGCACATGACCGCAGTTACCGTCACAGCCCTAGTTGCTTGTTTACAACACACGACCAGTGTATGTGAATGGTCATGTGACGTGTGTGGACGCGGTGGATTTAGTTTTAAAATGAAAACACATAAGTGTGGATGGATCCAGGTGTTACAGCTGTTTTTTCTGTCTGTGTTTCAGATGGTGGGTAAAATGGGCGGAGAAGCCATGTCCCACCTCAACAGCTCCTCAGGAAGTGTTGAGCCCTCGCTGTACTACCCTGGACAGAAACGACCAGGAGAGGACGGAGGTGAGGATCAGAACTTAATCAGAACATTTTCACTTTTTCTTTTTACCTCACCTACAATATTCCACCTGAACAAAAAGTCCCACAGGAGACTTTATACAGGAGTGAAGGACGAGACAGACAAACTGAGTCTCACTCTGACATTTGAGTTCAAGATCCAGAGAACTGAGGAGTTCAGTCTGAAAGCAGCTATAAAAACATCATATATCAAACATCATCTCAGAGTCTGGCCTGGGTCCCATGGGTTCGGGTCAGGTATCCAAACTCTGATGAAGCTTTGTAACCGTGTCGTGATCGTAGAAGTGTTCCACCACCTAAAAAACATCATGTCTGTGAATATGAGGCCACTCGGGCCAAACCAGGGTGTGGACAACCAGCGCAGCACGTCCCTCCAGACGTTAAATGAGACTGTGATAGAAAACAATCACCGTCCAAAAGTGAACATTACCTTGATATTCACCGTCACTTCCAACTCCTGATGTTCGACACAGACAAGTTTAATCTGCTGCTTCATCACATCATGTCTCTGTCTCTCAGTAGGTAACCAGCTCGCTGCCATGGGGCACCAAAGGTACGAGCAGCAGGTCATATCGATCTCACACGCACACACACACACACACACACACACACACACACACACACACACACACACACACAGACACAGACACAGACACACACACACAGACACACACACAGACACACAGACAGACACACAGACAGACACACACAGACACACACGCAGGGCTGCACAGATAATGACATTCAGCATCATACTCTTGTTTGCAAATTGTGTGAGTGTGAGTGAGTGAGAGAGTGAGGGAGAGAGAGAGGATAAGTGTTATAGATCTGTCCTCCCACAGTCTGCATCAACATAATCACTTATTGACACGTCCACACAGTGTTGTGTCTTTTCAGTGTGACCTGATGTGTGTGTGTTTGTGTTGCAGCAGGGTAATCACAGAGGATTACAAGGTCCCTGACAGGATGGTGGGCTTCAGTGAGTATGACCTCTGACCTTTCAGACCCCTGCTGGTCAGGAGTATGAAAGGCTTCATCGTCCATGTGAATTAATATAATACAACAATTCATCAAGAAACATATTGATCCAAACATGTCTAAATATAGAAACGTGAACTAAATATTCCTTAATGCTTAAAGTTATTTGAGAGATGAATCATTTATATATTTCTTTAAAGAAATGCAGCCCAAAGTACTGTATTTACAAACAAGATGAAACGATGTGATTCACAATGAGAAGAGAATGTGAAACGTTTTCTCTGCTCCGTGAATAATCAACACGTTTGTCCTCACGTGCATCATAGTGATGTCATCATGGCGCTCATGATGACATCACTATGATGACGGAGGTCTCGACTTTCTGCTGCATAACAATGAATCTTCTACCTGAATACTTTCAGAAGTCGGTTTGAAAAACATTTCGTACAAGAAAAAACATCTGAAAAAACTAAGTATGTTCTAAGCAGCATGATCCAGTCTTAACGTGCACACAACATGTAACTAACACACACGTTGTTCATTCAGTTAATGCACACACACACACACACACACACACACACACACACACACACACACACACACACACACACTGTTCAGTCAAAGCTACGATGAAACTTTAATACAAAACACATTTTTGTCGCTGACTGTAAAACATATTTCCGTCATGTATTTTTAAGCTTAAATAAATAAAGAACACACACAGTCTGACGCGTGATTTAAAATACAATTGTCTAGTTTAACACTGCTGAGCTATTTTACATCGGTGTAAACAAGTTAGAGCTTGTTGACTTAAACCAGAACCTTTTGATGGACATGCTCGAGTAGAACCTCCACTCTGATTATTCAATTGACCCTAAATTCTTTTGAGGCCAAAACCTTTTTACGTGAGCAGAACCTTCCTCCTTATCTTAAACCTTTACCCTGAGGTAGAACCTTTTCACCTGAAATAAAATAGTCCCTGTCATGCTGCTTGTTACAGGAACATGTGAAGAGGTGATAACATTTCTTTCTCCTCCTCCTTTAGTTATTGGTCGAGGAGGAGAACAAATCACCAGGATCCAGTTGGAGTCCGGCTGCAAGATCCAGATTGCTGCTGGTAAGACTGAAGGACTGTCGACTTCCTGCTCTTTCCCTCCACAATAAAACATTTCTAATGCCTCTGTGGTTTATTCTGTTATTGCTGCTGAAGAGTGAACTTGTCCAGTCCTGTGCAAAAGTTTCAGACCCTGAAGTAAAGTGAGTTGAAGACTGATAGTAAACATCTTGTCTGGTGCTGGTGTCACCACCTCATTGGAAAACGGTTCTTCACTGAAGCCAAGTGATTCATGGGATGGGTTGGGAGGGATCCTCCCAGTGGAACCTCCATGTTCAGGGATGGAAGGACGCATTCGTCCAATCAGACGCCTCCTGATGAGGCTGCTGACGTAGATGACACTAATCATTTAAAATCCATCGTCTAAAACGTTTGCACAATTCTGTTGAAATAAACAACTGCTTCTCTTTTGTGATTGGTTAAAAAAATGCGTGTGTGTGTGTGTGCAGACAGTGGGGGTCTGATGGAGCGGCCGTGTTCTCTGACCGGTACTCCGGAGAGCATCGAGTGAGTTTCTACACCTCCTCATTTTAGAGCACCTCCTCTCCTCCTCCACCACCTGATCTCAACTGTGTGTGTGTGTGTGTGTGTGTGTGTGTGTGTGTGTGTGTGTGTGTGTGTGTGTGTGTGTGTGTGTGTGTGTGTGTGTGTGTGTGTGTG